TCCAACGATACCGTTTTCTAAGTTACTCCATGGGATGATATTTTGTTTGCACGATGTGGAACTACCTTTTGTAGATTGATGCTTTTAACATTTCTTATTTTTGTTTATTTGCCCGGAGTGAGATTTTACAAAAAAAATTTGGTATTTATGTGTTCAGATCTTCAGATTTAATCCTAATATCTTCATTATAGGAAACTGAGTTATATCTTTAAACGTATCTTTCTGATAGTCGGTTTCCCAGCTACATTTAACCATTCGTTAGTGTTATTGATTCGATAACCTCATGATGATTCCGAAGTACGTAACATGAGTTTTAATCAGTTGAAATTTAGGTCGACCTAACACTAATGAATCACTAGGTAATCTTACTATTATAAATGCGAAAGTTTAGATGGATGGATGTTTTTAGAGTTTGTAGCTCACACGGCTAAATTGGGTATAGATGTAACATAGATAGGATAGTCTGGAATAACACATAGCCTATTTACTTTTGATTTCTTAATTCCACGCGGACGAAGTCGCATGAGAAAGCTAGTAATAAGATAAATGGACACTTCAGCAAAATAACATAAGTAAGCTTTTGTCCGGAAAACTATCCAACAAATAATGTCTTAACAACTCCAAGAAACAATAATATACTTCAAGGTCATCTAAAATCAAATTTCATTATCCTATATAAGGAGATATACATTTGTACTGAAATTTTGCATTAGCGAGCATCACTAAATCACGTACAGAACAAACAATCGACTGTGCACAGATAATAAACCGTGCTATAAAACGATGCAACCATGTCTCAGTAAGTTATACGTCTTCTCTTCAACTGGCTAGTACGATGTAGGACACAGCTTAATTGCGAAAGGTTCCAAACGAACGTGGTTTGTACTTTATGAGTCGGATCTCTCCCGCTGAGCAGTTGTGACTAAAATAAACTCAATACAATACTGTTGTATGGACTTTTGCCATTTCGCAAGAACTGTATTTGATACAAGATTAGAATCAAGTTTTTAAATTCAACCATTGAATTAAAAAGTCGAGTATGTAGTCAGCTTTTCAGTTGAAATACATTTCAATTGCAAATATTAATTTATTAACAACTAGCTTTTGCTCGACAATCCGTCCGCGTAGAATTAAAAAAAACAACAAAGTGAAGCCCTATGAATACTTCCAGACTAACCTCTACATCTGTGGTAAATTTCATCGAAATCCGTTTAGGCTACAAATTCTAACAAACATCGATCTAATTTTGCATTTATAATATTAGTATAACTGATATTCTATTTGTCAAAATAAGGACACGTAAATGTGCTTTTTTCTACAACTTAAAAAAATGAAAAAGGAACAACAAATAAAAAGCGAGAGACTAGAAACAATTCATTTCCGAATAGTCAATAAATTACAAAGCTTTATGAAACATAACACTAGAATGAATTGCCCGAAATCCTAAGCTCCCATCAAATCCATCCAATAAGGCGTAAATCCCCCTCCTACTGTACCGTTCGATGTTTTGTGGGGCAATTAATTTCGTACTAAATACTAAAATAAGTTTATTTCACACTAAAAGTAAAGTTACAATGAGAGTGAAAGTCATCTTTGAAAGAAGAGGGCTAACAAAGTTGGGAAGAGGCTTTTTGTAAAAATAAAACTACAATGATCGCTGTATTTTAATTCTCTAGATATGCCTATTAGAGAATCAAGCGGAGGGACGTAGACCACGCGGGAGGCCGAAACTAAGATGGCTAGATTGATGAAAGAGATCTTAAAAACTGGAAACATAAAGCCCAAGATTGAAAATCGAAAGACCGATATGGAGAAAAAAAAAGCCTCTGATGATGATGATGATGTATAATGCAGAAAAATGTTGGAAATTGTTTTGATTTGATTATTATGAGACGATTACTTCAATCCAATTATTTTAATGGCAATTTAGGTTAAAAATATATGTGACGGAATATTTCAATCTAATGGATGGATATTTGTTAGTATGTATCTCCACATTTCAAAGATCTTGACGAAAATTAAATCTGGAAGAACACATTGGTAACTTAATAGGTTTTGTTTTAATTTCTTGCGAAGGAAGTTGCGTACAAATTCTAATATTAAACAAATAAAAGAATACTATATCCAGTAATTACTGTGGGCGTCACAGCCATGTTGTGTTTTAATAAAATATAGTCTTCTTTACCTCTTATGCTTTCTTCTAATTTGCACAGAATAACCTTACCAATATGGCCGTCGTGTCGTCGAGCTAGTGCAATACCCTTATTTTTGACATCCGACTACTATCCGATTATTAACATAACAAGCACAATTACGACATTTTAAAACCATAACATAAATATTTTAAATAATGTTTTGGATCACAATTACAAAGCTTATATTGTTATTTCAAATTATGACCAAAGGTAATGATTCATATCACAGTCTAAATAATCTTCAAGAATACAGAATATATCAATATAGTTAAAAAGCCAACATTACAAAGTATGAAGAATTTGTAGCTCAAGGTCAATTTATAATCACAAAACTTGTACAAAGACTCTTTCATAGTTGAAAGATATTAACAATTTGTCAAGTAATTATCTATTTAGGGCGGTGATTATGATTCAGGATAGGCGATGCTTTTATACGTGACCTATATAGTTACTTAAAATATACAAATGATTTCATAAGGAATGAAGTGAAGCCAAAAATAATGTGATGTTTACATTATTACGTAACTTTTGATTTTAGTTATTTTGCCTGCATGCATTGGACAAGAGCGTCGGTGGCCTTGGGCTTTTAAGCACTTGACTTGTATATGTATATGTGTGAATTACCTAATGCCCATTTAAGGTCTTACTAAATACATGATATTCTATGAAAAGGATTACTTTTGTATTAGCTATTATTGGCGACTTTGTCTATGTAAAATTAAAAATAGCCCATGTTATTCATCGATAACGTAGCTTTTTAATGGTGTAAGAAATTTTCAAATCGGCCTGGTAGTTTTTGAGTTATTTCAATATATATAAAAATACAATTTTTTTTTCTTTATATTATTATGAAAAGAATTTAAATTTAAATCTGTAGGAAATGATCCCAGTAGCTAGTATTATATTTCTAGTATAAACAAATATAACTTTACGGTAATATAAAGTGGTTGACACAGATCGAGTAAGATACAAATACAAAGTTTGGCAAAATGCCAACAATCCTTGCCATCGTAGGATTAAATTTAAATTTTACGCTTTAGGAATAATAATAAGACATTGTTTCATTGAATATACTTCCAGTGTGATATTTTAAGCGCCAATACAAAAGGAAAAAAACAAACGAACTAATTCCTTTTAGGGTTGTCCCACCACTGGCTGATAGATGCTCAGATAGCTTAAAAATGACATCACAGTCAGATGAATCTACTGAACAGAGAAATCCTATTCGATAGTTATTTGCAGTTTCGTTAAAAATTCTACATGAAGGGCACGACTTACAACATTTGTTTAAAAAAAGCCTTCTCCACTCTATGACAGCAACTGGCAAAAGAAACACTCGCCCACTAAACTTTATTTGGGCGTAAACCGGTGCGCATTCGGTGAGATTTAATTTCCTGTTTCAGTCAGCACTTTTTATTTTATAGTGGCATTAACAATATAATTGTATTGTATAAGGTATACTTTAATTCATTGATCGAGAGGAATCTTATTGTACAATGTTATTGAGATTATTTCATTCGGATCCTGTTTATTGTTTGGGTTTAAAACGCCTGATGGTTGGGAATAGCAATCATTTTAAGTAATATTTTGCTTTTATTTTTTGTAAGGATAAGGAATTGCTTTTATAAATCTGATAAAGAATATTTAATAAATGATTTGCAAACATTTAGGTTTATTAGATTTATATATATTATTACTAAACCTACGTTACTAAATTCTCTTTATCTATACTAATAACATCAAGAGCAAACAGTTGTATTAGTGTATGTTTTAAAATAACCTAGAAACTACTGAGCGGATTTCAAAAATTCTTCCACCGTTAAAAAACTACGTTATTAGTGAGTAAATTTCACGCAAGCAAAGTCGCAAGCAACAGCTAGTTTATGATATATCAGGGTGATCATCGTTTAAATTAAATCCCTCGAGGAAGATGTCTGTATGTGGTTGTTGGGTGTTTTATGTGTGTATTTTAAGCCACAAACACATCAATCTAGTAATAAGCCGTAGTAAACATAATGCGTAGTTCATCGACATATGATTCACTCGCGGCGGGACAAAGGTCCGCACGTGCGACTTTTTAGCAAAACATTCTGCCTCGACTTGATGTTTCGCACATTACGTACTATTTTTGTTTTTATATCTTTAACCGCAAACGAGCGTTTATTTACGTTAATATTGTTAACCTTTAGTCACAGAACAATGAAAGTATAGACGGGGTTTTAGGTATTTTGCTATGTAATTTTAATGACATTTTAAATAGATTAGAATCTTAACATTGTCTAATCGACTCCCTTATACTAAAGCATTTAAATTGGGACAAAATATTTAATTTTAAAATTCAAGGCGTGATAGAAAATGAGAGAACTTTATTACTAAAACACTTTTTTTAATTTAAAAAGTTAAATACTTATAACATAGTGAGTAGGTAAATATTAATCGACATACAATTTTAGTTTTTATCTAAAATAATGTCTGCGTTTTGTGTTTTAATCTATGACCATAACTTTTCAAATATTGAATATAGTTCAACGAAGAGATGTTTATTACATTGTGGTTTCTATTGCGTTTTAAATTCAATAATTAATTGAACAGGAAACATTTAATTCAATATTGATTAGTAAAATCGTCTCTTTTCTTAAATAAATAATATCATATCAAAATATTTAAACGCAAAAAGCCAATAAGCTGACAATTTTATATTTAAGATTTGGTGTGTTTAATACCTTTTTAGTAGAAGATTGAAATTTAACTAAGAGTGTTCGCGTAATGATTATGTTCTTTAATCAGTAATTAAACAAAACTTACCACATCCGCACTGGCAACGCCATCAGCTACGTCCGTCCCACCCTTATCTCTCCAGTGCTTTTCACTCGTAACGGAGAACGTAAAGGCTCTCTCCCTTCTTGGACTCAGAAGTAATCCCGCAGGAGTCCGTGGACTTCCGTATCTAAATATCTCCAGATTAGTAGTCGAAAAGGGATCGCTTCCACTGTTCGTTCTTGGACTTACGAATACATCGTCTTCTAAATCGGAATCCAAGGTCAGGGTGAGAGGTGGAGATGATGCTGATCTTCTACATGGCTGTGGGGGAGGTGCTGGTCGTTCGATATCCGATTCGGAGTATGGACGATCTGTGGAAAAAAGGATGTTTTAGTTGCAAATTTTGATGATTTTTATCCAGGCCCTGCGGCCTAGTTTGCTTTAGGTTAGTAATTTAGCTACAAGAAAGTGTCTGAGCATCAGTTGTGTAGATAAGTAAATCATAATAATAAAAGCTTTTAACTAAATTACTAGTCCAGTGCGAAAAAGTTGTATTTCAATAGCGATATCAATCCTAGTCAAAATACATAGGATTGAATACATGAATACAACACGTAGTGTTATCTTTGTCTGACTTCAAACGAGTTTGAACATGTTTTTTTCATGTTTTAAAACGTTTATCTTCTTGTTTCCATTGTCACAATAGAGTACACTTATAATGGAATATGAATTAAATGTTTATTAGCGCCATTTCACCTACACGTCAAACGTGCTTGTCAACATGACGTGGGCGGTCAGTTTTATTTTTAGCCAGTTAAGGCAATATTATTCGTTCTGCCAATTGATTTTTTAAGTATAAATATTAACACTGTATATTAACATTAATTTTACAAACAAATCTTACTAGAATACGTTTTTCCAATTAGATTTTTAAATGTTAACTAGCTTTCGCCCGCGACTCCGTTCGCGTGGAAGTAGAAAAAACAAAAGTGAGCATCCTTTGTGTTCTTCCCGACTATCCTCTACATCTATGCTAAATTTCATCGAGATCCGTTCAGCAGTTTAGGCTAACTCTAACAAACATCCATCTAAACTTTCACATTTATAATATTAGTAAGATTACCAATGGACACTTATTTTATGACGTCAGGAATTAAAATGTAGGTGTATCCATATTTCATTGTTTTTTAAATTATTGATTATTTTTAATTTATCTTGAAAAATAAACATGTAAAATAATTTCTAGAAATCAAAAGTACCATGACAAATTACTTAAAAATAAAAAGCAAAACAAGACTCAGAGACAGAACAAAGAAGGCAATTTGTTATCAATGGAATCGATGGTCCAAGTACCAGGATAGCATGAATCCGTTGGAAGTAATATACAGAATGTATAAGAAACACAAATTAATAAAATCTTGTGCCGTCCGCGGGCAGAACTCGTTTTGTCGTGGCGCACGTGCAGCGACTGACCGCAGGAAAAAGAGGTCAGATATTGTTGTCTCACTCTAAAGTGCAACGTTCAGAATATTGTGGATGCGCCTCTCTATCCTGACCGCAGTCTAGGCGACAGTTTTATGTTACGTCAGTATTCCGGTTTGGTATACACTATTGTTATTACGTTGTATTATTATCTCTAGTGCGTGTAATAGAATTGTGAGTTATAAATCATGATTTACTTTGTTCCAAAGATTTATCAAGATTTTAATCATTATTGTATTAAGAGCCTGTCAATAAAGTACTGGAGTAAAATTAATCCATAGTACGCTGTCTTGATATACGTTGATACAGGATTTTTTAGCTCCTTGGCCGCGTAACACAGGTGTACAACTTATGCATATTTACAAGGAACGTATTTCATTTTTAAACACAACTTGCAGCAGTTAGTATTAATGATTTTGATAACATCTTTCACAGAGTAAAAATAAACTCGGGAATTTAAAAAAAAAATAAACTGATTTTAATAAATGGACAGGCTATAGACGTGATGTTTTTATTTGATTTTTGTCTTTTTTACGCTAATGTGAATTGGAACTAATTTTATAAATAATAGATTGATATTACAAATAGAGTAGATCAATCAATAACAGGCGTATTTAAATAGGAGCGTATCAATAGCTGTTTTTTTCAATTTCCAAGCAAAGGCCTGTCCATTTATACAGATCAGTAACAATACTATAGTTCTGATGTGAATTTAAGTGTTTGGTAATATAGACATAACCTAACTAGACATGAATAGTAGTGGCTATCTTTTCTGAACGTCAATAGGTCTTGAGACATTTAAAATACGGTTTTTAGTGTTCGATATCTTAAAAAACAAAGTTAGCTAAGCATTCTCAACTATCAAATGAAACCGCGTCAGCTAAATAAACTCTTTTAATACTTCAGAAAGTATCCTCTTAGGTGTAAGAAATCGAACTTCAAACACTGAATGCTATAAAACGGTCAACTTTACTGCGGTCGTAAATCACGAATCGACGGCAGTTCGACGCAACAATGAAATACTTGCTTAAAAAAACTTTAACTGAATAATCCTATTATGCTTTAAACATTGTATAGGTTATTCCAATTTAAAGTGAACAAAATTAACTCTGCTTTTATTAGATACAAATAATTTTGATAGTCATTTGTTTTAAATTATATAACGTTTATCCATATTATGCTTTACAGAAAATTTTTTCACAAAATAACAATGATTACCTTTGACCAACATTATATTTGTTTGTTTAAAAACTATTAATCTGGATTGAAATCTATACTAATATTATAAACAGGAAAAATTTGTATTTTTGTATGTATTGTAACAACTCAAAAATTACTGGCCGATTTCAAAAGCTACGTTATTAGTGAGTAACGTTGGTTATGTTTTTTATTAATTTTTAAATTCATGCAGGCGAAGTCACGACTAAATTATATAAAGACGTCTGCTTGACTACTCAATGCTTTTAAAAGTAGCCAAACACCATCAACGAAGATTAACAATTCATTAATAAAAATTCCCATAGGAATCAATGTTTAGACCGTACTTTCACACGCCACTGACCACTGTCCAACTGAATGAATGGACTTACGACTTCGCCTTTGTCTCGCTTCGATGTGAAACCAACAGAAAAAGTGATGACTTAACAAAATACAAGTGAACGAATGATTAATTGATCATTCGCATCCTAACAGACAATGTAATAGGGAACATCTTTTAACGTCACAAAACATCCTAATCTTAAAGTCATTCATTCGTTCATTATTGGATTCGCCTAAATACGTAAGATTTATTCGATATCACAATAAGGATTATTCCAGATGGCAAGTATCAAAGTACATTGATCTTAAACACGTTTTAAAATGAATTTTTTATAATCAGATTTCGTACTTTAATACGTTAAAACCAGAATTTATAATGTAAATTGTATAAATCTTCGTAAAATACCTATAGATTGTGTAATTCAGTTTATCCATTACATTTTTTTATAAGGTAGCAAACAAGAAAGCGCCCACCTGAATCCACTGAAATGGAAAGCGACTGCTGCCCATAAACATCCGCAATTTCAACGCGTTGCCTACCCTTAATTGACGGAGGAGGAGATGCACATAAAGAGGACATTTTCCCTTCCTATGCGTCTCCTCCACCGTTAAATCCACTTCCCCTTCCCATCATCTCCTTATGAGAAAAGGGTGGTAAGGAGTAAGGGACTTAAATTAGGCCTCCGTCACCATACTCAACACACGAAAGGCAGAATAACTTCCACTTCATGCCTGTCTTCTGTGCGGTTGTGGGCACACCGGGCGAGCCCATTCGTGCAAAGATGTTAAAGCGGGCACTACCACTGTAAAGTAGCAAATATTCATCATAAATCTCCAGTGCCAACGAAAAGGTTTTTCATGCCCATAATCATATAAGTAAAACGAGAAGGTATTCAAAAGAAGTCTGATGAAGTAAGCAACGCTAGACCATAGAATAGAAATACTATAATTAAACTGGTAGCTAATAGTTAGGAAGCTACCCCGAGGCTAAGACAGTCTAAGATTGTTCGCCGGTAGCCACATGTCTTGAGTCTACTCGACTTTAGAGCAAGCGCACACCTTTGACTAAACTATCCCACGTTTGTGAGATTGTCGATTGTTTCGCAATACATTCAACTGTTTAGTTGCAAAGCAATATTGAGTAGAATGCTCCATATAAGCTCATAGAAATCAAAGCGAACTGTTGTGCGATTGTTTAGTTTCATGTGTGCGACCGCTCTTAAAATCACTGTAATCATTTGTGCGGTCAAACTGGTTTGAACAGTTACAGTCGGGGATAGGATTAAGTCTTTAGCAACAATTAAATAGAAGACGGCTACTTGATAGCATTATAAAGTTGATATAGGGATCGATAGCTGCAAGCTGTTTGTGGTGTATTTCTCTGGCTTTATAAGTGTCTGATTGCTGTCTTGGGTTTTATATTTTCCATTAATGTGGACTCAATCTATTCTAGTTTTACTATACTTTTATAATCTGTCAAACAATTCATCCGATATTCAATTGTTTTTTGCAAAATCAAAGTAAAACTAGTGCTGGAAGTCATTAATTTTTCTATAAGTGAGTGTCAAAGAATTAACAAAAGAAGAGCAATTAAATACCTTAATAGTATCAGATCAGAATAGAATATCGCAAAGCATCAAGAGAACATAATTTGAATAACGATATAAAAAATGCTACTGACTATTCAAGTGTGTCTATAAATTCTTATCTCACGTTTTATATATAATATAATAACGATAAAATTACAGAGTAAGCCATTGATGAACAATGGTAAACACGAAGGTATAGAAGATATATCAGATATCCAAATTGTTAAATAAAAAGTAGCCACGAATTTATAATAGGAAAAATCGTTTATAGCAATTACCTATTATTATAGTTAATTGGATGGATTATTATAGGTGTCTGTGTATTACGAGTTTGATGGACAATCCCAAATAATAAATGATGAACTGTAAAATGCGAAGTTACTTGCATACAAAAGTTCAAGCACGAGGGATTCAGATTTGGTCACGTTATATGCAAGAAATTGAAAAAAAAAAACATTTAAATTCGAAATGAATAAAAAAAACACATGTCCTATATTTTCCAGATAAATGCAGAACCTATACTAATGTGATATACCAAACCATGGTAGTATCATTATGTGTGTGATCAAACCATCACTTTTCCCATAGACAAGTAACAATGGTGCTTTATTTAATGATCCGGAGAGAAATAACTTCGACTACTGAATTGCCGGCCATTTGATTGGTTTTAATGGCATTAGTTATTCTTATATAGCTTTCATAACTAAATCTAACGATACAATAAAGTTAGAGGGTCCAGTTAAATCCGCATAGATACAAGT